AATGCTTCACAATCAGTGAGTTAGAAAGGCCTAGTGAGGCTACCTGTTAAGGGGATCCCCTTCTCCTTTCGTTTGTGCGAGAAGTAAACAATTGCAAAAGAGAGACAATCACAAGAGAGGTGGATTAACGGATGGATAGACACGGCATGGATGGATGGAGACGCAAGAGGTGAATGGATGGATGAGTACGAAATAAATTGGTGGGTACAGAATAGACAGACGAGCCGATGGGTGGATGGATACAGGAATGAGAGATATGAACTTGACATTTGCGCCAAATAAACCGCCTTTTGTAAGAAAATAACCGCACAAGTAACCATTCTTTTCTAGTCATACTCACCTATGGAGACGCGGAGACAATAAGAAGGGAGAAGGTGGATGTCACCGTTCATCTATTCAGAAGATGCCTCACAGCCATCTTGCCATCTTTCAGGGGAAAATTTCATCAAGTAGATCTCTACCGTATTTGAAGGCTGGTTGACACTTTGACGGCAAAATCTGCGGTTCATCAACAAGCACAGTCTCCAGGAGGGAGATAGCTTGCATAATCACCAGTTTTAATAACAAAAGAGCAAGTGCCAAGACTTTTCAACCTTTTCATTGTACACTTCTTCGAGAAGTTAGCCTGATTCACTGTGCTCGATTGTTGCAGGCAATTGAAACACGTACTGTTAAGTGTGAAGGTATCTTTCGCCTGTGACTGCAAAGTGACGTGATTGAGTGCAATAAAATGCACCTCCATCAATTTAACTGTCAAATGCTTTCAACTGATTTGCTGAAATCGTACAACTCAAACCAAGGACTTCGACAAACGACATCCTCATTGCCACATGTGAATTGTTGCAAAGTGGCAATGAAACTTCTGCTATACAAATCATCGCTGGCGCACCTGTCATTCAAACTGTTGTCACTTTACTGACTCCATTTTGGCCTTGGGGTAGAATCCATTGGCCCTGTTGCCTGGTGCCTTTCAGTAGAGGAATTGGCTGTCCGACCTGCTCTAGTCCAGTCTACACAAGCCATTTGTGTCTGTCA